GCACCTGAACATGACAAATGGCCAAGAAAGGACAAATATCGATATGACTTGTTGAATAGCCTACAAGAAGACAGACATGAGATCACTATATCTCTATTATTTGTAACGACGTTTCAGGACTACTTCTTGTCCCTTCACCTGCATCATCACCGGCCTATTTTACCCATACCCATCAGCCTGATATGAAATCGTAAAGTCCGAACTCCGCGATCTGCGATCCGAAAATCGGTTGTAAGTTGACTGTAGCATATGCCGGTGACTGACAATGTACGTGAATCGACAAGGGGAATCCCCTTATGCTAGTCCGATATATAAAGCCCGTCAGTGCAGTCGAAACTATCAGATTGTGTCGGCTGGCTGTGGGATACACATGTGTGAAGTAGAGGCATAATTACAGACAGCATGGGTAATATTGTTTCATGCTGGCCAATATCCCGATATCAGGTGGGTCAATATGTTATCTATACATATGTAATGCGTGTGTACATGTTCACGTGAATTTGTCATTGCATTGTCTTGTTTAGTTTATGTAAGATTATCCTTATTGTTTTATTGCTGTGATGGCGTAGCTATCAATCGTGTTTGAAACTGTGTTTATTCGATTCCAGAGGCTGTCCAACACAGAGAACTCGATAAACTGCCAAAATGAACCCAATCTGACAGAGAGAGTTACATGTACGTTAAATTAAATTGTTTGTTATTTGGTTTGCTTGTTTTTTGTTTAACGTCGCACGCAGCAATATTCCAGCTATATGACGGTGGTCTGTAAATAATCGAATCTGGACCAGACAATCCACTGATTGACATCATGAGTATCGATTTACGCAATTGGGATACAATAACATGCATCAACCATGTCAGCGAGCCTGACCACCCGATCCCGCTAGTCGCCTCTTATGACAAGCATAGTCATCCTTTAGTTCTTTATTTAAACAATCTGTTTGTCTTATAATTCTATTTTAGGAAGTTTAGTTCTATGTGTACCCCATTAATTTCTTTTTAAATTACTGTATGTATGTATCGTATTTTTCTTTGTTTAGTGAAAAAATTTGGATTAATGAAAGCGAACCGAATGTTGTTACATCATCTATCAAACAAAATGTACACAAGTAAATTGGTAGTTTATTGTGAGTTTAATGTTGTAGTGCCAACACACTGGAACCATGCATATGCTGTAAATGACGAGATGTTGGATACTCCAGTATCTGGAAGAGATCTCAGTCTTGTTGCAAGTCACATCGGGATCGGGTTCGAGTCTGTTGGCATCGAACTTGGACTTACTCTCGTGGTTATCGAACAAGTCACGTTTGCACACCCTTATTCACTATACATGCAGGTTGTACACATGCTTACAAAGTGGAAGGAGAAGAACGGGAGAACTGCAACCAGCCTGGTCCTTGTCAGAGCACTTTGGAGATTCAATGACAGGTGTACCATTGAGTGGGAGGACATTCTCAACATCCTTCAGGGACCGTCCACTGTGTCTGTGTAATCAAGTCGGAGAGCTGTTTTCACCTGACACTGTCTTGCTTTACGCTGTGAATACACGAGTGGGTATATAAGTAATGCTTCACTGAGTTTCCCCGACCACATACAGAGAAATCATGCCTACATTTATGTTTTCTCATATACGAGCGCTGCACTGAACACTCTTCTCATGTACAGTTATCATTGATTCATTGGGTTCCCGCTTTGAAATATCGAGTCGAGATGCTAGGTTCACTGAGGCTTATGTAGATAATTTGGGATCCTGACTGATCTGAATGATTTCTGTTACCTCAAGTTGCACACTGAACACTCTTCATTTGAACATTAATATCTTTTCCGTTTGTAATACATTGTGATTCTATTTGTATGTGTTGAGAATAAATGCTTTTAATAAATTGCTGTGATGCCTTTTGCAAAAACTTGTCTTTCTGTCTCTTGTGATATTTGAGGAAGAACTAGCGAGGGATGATTACATGCGCCCTAAACGTCATCCGTAAACCGAAAATCCGGAGACATAATTGCGTCTCACAATATGATTTGACTCTACAATGTCCGGTCATGATTGAACAGTCGAATTAATTGTGTTATGTTGTTCCAAGTGAACTGTTTATCCGTTGTCCTCCTATTTTGAACAATTTCACAAGGGTTTGCCGGTCGTAGAATCTTGCTGATTGATTACGGACGATCATTGGTGTTTTACTTTCTGTAGTAGCTGTATTCCATTTGTAAGAATATTTCCTGGTTGGAAGTTTGCAAATACTGGTGATGGGCTGTTGTGGTTCTCAGGTATGAAATCACATGAAGATGATACCAGAAGATCGCGAAAAGGTATCCTGTCCCACTGGTGGCACCCGTCACAGACAAGGAAATGGTTATCCTATCCAGTCCTCTACACTTTTACCATAAAACATTTAGACAACTATTGAAGGAGAATATGTGAACGCTTTTGCATGCTGACTGCAAAGGGAGAGCGGAAAAGATTAGCATAATGACGAAACATGTGTAAATACAGTTGTGACAGCACTCATATCTATGCACCATTGCAACAGATTTGTAGTGGTGAAAAATCTAGTTGTTTCGAAAATCCGATTTTATGTATTCAATAATATACCCTTTTAGATTCTACAAATAGCTTGATAAAGAATTCGAATGACACAATAACAAGTAATGATCTCAATTATAGAGAAGCCTGACATACTGTCACTTTCTTTATGCATAGAACAGATCAAAATAGTGATGAGAAGTAAATGAATGAATCACTGAAAATCAGTGATGACACCAGGTATTCCACAGAATGATTAGCATGTTATGCTCTACCAGAAGCACCCGCCACTCTCATAAATTTAATAAAAGATGTAAGCTGTTTGTTGTTGCTAAATGCTGCTACCAGCACTACTCCTGCCATATCACGGTGGCCTGAGAAGTATCGAGTCTCGACCAAAGAATCCAGGGATCACTTTCATAAGCAATGACTCACGTCGTCGGGTTACTATGCCACGCTGTCAACCAAGTCACCAAGCATGACCACCCGATCCATTTAGATAAGTGAGTGAGGAGGTGTGAAATCTCCCTGTAAAGGTCATAGTATGGGATAGAATTGCAAATGACTTTGACAGGTAGCATGTCATATTTAGTAAAAAATCCACCTAATTTCCGCCATAATATTTCTGGAATGACTTGATCAGGCCTGTGATGCCGAACCTTGATTGAATTTAAGCTTAGTTTAAAGCAAAATGTGTCTTTCCAGGAAAGTTGAATGATATGCACATGCGTTTAAGTACATAAGCAACAGGGAAATGTAGATGACATAAGTTGAAGCTGAAGGCATATTGGTCCACGTGACATTCACTTTGAAACATCACTAGAACGAGATGTTTGTATAGTTTGTACTGTTTCCACACTGATGTATGTCACATGTTACCACCATTATATCCTGGAACAATAACGTAGATGTTAAGTGCTTTTTACCCCTGGGGTGCAATAACAATGTCCAAAGCGGGAGTTTAACATTTTACTTCATGTTAAATACCTGCAATACAACTGTGAAAACTGTTGAAATGGAATACTATTTACGTTGTATTTTCGACAAAACAATCTCCGCTTCAGAGTACAGGACAGACGTAGTCGATCACCAAGTCATTCAAGAAAGCCAGAGTCCCGGTACAAGAGACGACAAGAACGTTTACTTGTCTGCGGCGATTGTGACGTTGCTAGTCCGAAAATCCGACACAGTCAATTAGAGATTCTCTGTTCCAACTGGATTTATTCACGTCACAACTCCATTCAAAAATATTAATGCATTTCAGAAAAGTTATTCAATTGTCAGTTATTTAAGATCCGACACACGCTCTGCAATAACCAATGCGCACTTCAACAACTGTTACATTAGTACCATATCTAAAACATATTATGTTGAGTCTATCTGGGATAATGTGACATTGTTTTATACTGTAACCATTTTTCGATATTCCTCTTTGTAACCAGTACATTAATTGAACAGAAGGATATATTAACACATATTCCTTTATTATTTCGCAGATATTCCTTTGTAACCAGTACATTAAATTGAACAGGAGGATATATTAGAAGATATTCCTTTATCATTACGCATGTCGCTTTTATCAAAACTTGATGTATCGGGAATAGATGTGAGATGATTCAACTGCTGTACGTACAAATCGAGGTCAATTAAAGAGAAGAAGGTTCCGCCTTCTCAATCAGTTCAAGTGAAGTTCTTCGCTATGCTATTATATCCCATTGAGCTCTCAACGCAAAATGACCTGCTAACGTGTATATGTTCATATTATAATATGTACTATTGAAAAGGAAACACATTTAAGTGTATTGGTGCACACTTACATGACGAGACTTTGGTTAACAACATGACTGTCTCATTTCTCCAGTATGCCAATCCACACCACCACTATTTTTCCTCTTCTCTTCTGTAGCTCTTCGTTTTTTCAAGCCCATTCAACTCGTAACATTTGTCCCATTAAGTATTTGTTGGATATAATACAATGTGGTGCTTTTTTTAAAAAGAATTCTGCAGAAACATCTTCATGAAATGTTTGAAGTTGTTGTTTGTCTTTTGAACATTCAAACACACACACATACACACAAACGCACATACATACACGCACGCACACACACACGCGCGCGCACACACACACACACACAGACACACACACAGACACACACAGAGGCACACACACAGAGACACACACACAGAGACACACACACACACACACACACACACACAGACACACACACTACTATATCTGTATGAACATACTATTTGATAATCAATGCTGCACGAACCCCAACATCTCAGCCCCACACCACCTTTTGTAATGGCAGATACAATCCGAAAATCCGCCGTCCGAGATCAATTGTAAGTAACATGTGGAGCTGGAAAGTATCCGAAAACTCAGTCAGCAAGTAGATGAGTCTCCATATTTCTATAAATAAAGGCAGTTGTGTACAGACGACAGTGTCATAATTTCTCAGTTTCTGAGGGGATACGGTTGTGTGTTTCACCTTCTCTCTGGAGTGTTAGATACAGGCAGCATGGGCAATATTGTTTTATGCTGGTCAGGATTCAAATATCAAGTAGGTCAAATTCATTTCTCGTGTTTTCCTTGTTGGTATGTCAGCGTATCAATGTTTATGCGCGTCCATGCGTGTGCACGTCCATTCGCGACTGTTTTTTTATGTATGTATATATGTAAGATTGCCCTACTTACGGCTGTCAATCGTGTTTTTAAACTGAGGGAAATATTTTGATGCAGCGAGTATTCACGAATATGTCTCATTGTGTTTTGATTCCAGAAAATATCCAAGACAGACAACCCCATAACCTGCCATGATAACCCACAGCTGGCACAGAGAGGTACGTCTAATCCTATTTATTGTTTCATTGCCTTTAATAGACGGATTGTGTGTTTTGGTATGAATCATCAGGTCCGAAATTAGCATAATTCCCATTTTTTATGTGTACCCCAGAATGTTTTCATTATATATTGTGGTATAATAACAATATGTTTTGTTATTGGATTTTTGAGAGAATTTGATATTAAGATACGTTAAGATAATTAAGAATATTAATGGGTAATTTAAAAGCCAATATATTACACAAAACACACGCACATGTAAAGAGTATGCTTATTGTGAGATGACTGTTATAGGGCCAACACACTGGAACCAAGCATATGCTGTGAATGAAGAGATGTTGGATACCCCTGTATCTGACAGAGATCTCAGTCTTGTTGCAAGTCACATCGGGATCGGGTTCGAGATTGTCGGCATCGAACTTGGACTTACTCTTGTGGTTATCGAACGAGTTACGTTTCCATACCCATACTCACTATATATGCAAGTTGTACACATGCTTACCAAATGGAAGCGGAAGAACTGCGAAGGCATGTACCTGCATGTGCGTATCACATTCAGAGGAAACTCCCGCTTTTAAATATCGAGTCGCGATACTTGGTTCACTGACGCTTCTGTACATAATTGTGTATCCTCACTTATCTGAATAATGTCCTGTTTCCTTAAGTTGCACACTGAACACTCTTCAGTGTTAACCTTTCCCTTTGTAATACATTGTGATTCTATTTGTATGTCTTAAGAATAAATGTTATAAATAAATTGCTGTGATGTCTTTTGTAACAACTAGTCTTTCTGTCTCTTGTGATATTTGAGAATGAACTAGTGAGGGATGAATAGATGTGCCCTAAACGTCATCCGTTATCCGAAAATCCGGAGACATAATTTACTCTCACATAATGATTTGCCTCTACAATGTCCGGTCACGATTGATTTGTTTTGTAAAGTTGTTCCAAGTGTACTGTTGATCTGTTGCCGGTCGTAGAGTCTTCTTTCTGAATTATTATGGAAGCCAATTAGTGTTTTACAACAGCTGTATTCTATATGTAAGAGTATTCCGTTTTTGGAATTTTGCACATACAGGTCATTGGCTGTAGTAGTTCTCATGTATAAATCAAATAGTGATAATACCAGAAGTTCGAGAACAGGTGACCGTATCGAATCTCACTGGTGGCATCCATCGCACACATTGAAATGGCTATCCAGTCTTCACCAGAACAAACACGGATCATATGGTCAAAATAGGGAATTGCATCGGACTGCATTTTTGTCACTGATGCATCAAATTCAGAAATGTCCCTTACACCTGTACCATAAAACATTTTGACAACTAGCGAAGTGATTGCTGATTGCAAAGGGATGGCGGAAAACATATGTTAATACAGTTGTGGCCGCACTCATATCTATGCACCATTGCAACAGATTTGTAGTGGTGACAAAACTAGTTGTTTCGAAAATCCCACATGTGTCATACATTCAACAATATCCTCCCTTACATTCTACAAATAGCTTCAAACAGAATTCGAATGACAAACATACAAGTCATGATCTCAAAAATAGATAAGCCTGAAATACTGTCGCTTTTTCAACTGCTGCCCGTACACATCGAGGACAACTCAACTGTAGAATGTTCCGCCTTCACAATTAGTTCAAGTGAAGCTATGTTTTCATATTCCATTGAGCTCTCAACGCAAACTGACCTGCTAACGTGTATATGTTCATATTATGTTTTGTACATGTGTCGTAAACGTCATCCGTAATCCGAAAATCCGGAGACATAATTGTGTCTCACATAATGATTTGACACCGGGCACGATTGAACAGTCTGTGAAGTGTACTGTTTATATGTTGTCTCTTATTTTGAACAATTTCACAAGGGTTTGCCGGTCGTAGAATCTTGCTGATTGATTCCTGACGATCATTGGTGTTTTACTTTCTATAGTAGCTGTATTCCATTTGTAAGAATATTTCCTAGTTGGAAGTTTGCAAATACTGGTCATGGGCGGTAATGGTTCTCAGGTATGAAATCACACGGAGATGATCCCAGAATTTCGCGAAAAGGTATCCTGTCCCACTGGTGGCACCCTTCACAGACAAGGAAATTGTTATCCTAACCAGTCCTCTACACTTTTACCATAAAACATTAAGACAACTATCGAAGGATAATATGTGAACGCGTTTGCATGCTGACTGCAAAGGGAGAGCGGAAAAGATTGGCGTAATGACGAAACATGTGTAAATACAGTTGTGACTGCACTCATATCTATGCACCATTGCAACAGATTTGTAGTGGTGAAAAATCTAGTTGTTTCGAAAATCCGATTTTATGTATTCAATAATATACCCTTTTAGATTCTTCAAATAGCTTGATAAAGAATTCGAATGACACAATAACAAGTAATGATCTCAATTATAGAGAAGCCTGACATACTGTCACTTTCTTTATGCATGGAACAGATCAAAATAGTGATGAGAAGTAAATGAATGAATCACTGAAAATCAGTGATGACACCAGGTATTCCACATAATGATTAGCATGTAATGCTCTACCAGAAGCACCCGTCACTCTCATCAATTTCATAAAAGATGTAAGCTGTTTGTTGTTGCAAAATGCCGCCACCAGCAATACTCCTGACATATCACAGTGGCCTGTAAAGTATCGAGTCTCGACCAAAGAATCCAGGGATCACTATCATGAGCAATGATTCACGTCGTGGGTTACTACTCCACGCTGTCAACCAAGTCACCAAGCATGACCACCCGATCCATTTAAGTTAGTGAGTAAGGAGGTGTCAGTTATTTAAGATCCTTTTGCGAAGAAAACATTCTGCAGAAAAATCTTCATGAAAATTTAATGTTTGAAGTTGTTGTTGGTCATTTGTACGTTCACACACACACACACACACGCACGTACGCACGCACGCACGCACGCACGCACGCCCCCCCAAGGGGGGTCAAGTGTCGCGATCTCGCGTTCTCGCGCTTTTGAAAATAGTGACATATAACTGTATAGGCAATTGACATAAATTCCCGAGAACGCGACATTGTTCAAGTGTATAACATGAGGTCCGTATCCTACCTAGAACTAACTGCTTGTCTCAACCAAAGTGTTATGAACTGATTTTGACAAATAAACGAAACGCCATAGGCCATGTCGGATTGTCGGATTGTCCTGTTCACATCTTGCATGAACTCCCTGCGATATGCCCGAACTGTGTTTCGTTTCGTTTTATTGCGTAGAGCGCAACCCCCGTTTCAGACAAACCATAGTCCTAGTCTGATAGATTATTATCTGCAGTGAGAGTATGCCAGTTGCTTAACAAAATTGGGTCATATTTTCAAATGAAATTGAAACGTTCATTCACTCCGGAAACGACAGGAGCACATCTGACAATCTAACACCAATATCATCATTATTACTGGAGAAAGTGAGGAAAGTGCAGGAAGCTTGCATACGTGGCATAGGCCTGTCCACTTTACCGGTTTCCCATGATAGGAGACAATTAATTGATACACCATAACTTATATTGATTGATATACTGCTCAACATCAACATATCGTGTGTTATCCTACACGATTTTAGGTTTTTCGAGTAAAATAAAACCTCATCACACCTATATACAAAAGAAACAAATCATATATACGAGTTTTATCGGTAAGAATATGGCGTCTCTCATCTCAATACTATGATCACTTGTGATTAAAACGTACCTCCTTTTTCTACAACCTGATCTCCATTCATCACACGGCTATCAAACAAGCTTTCACGGCATCTGAAGTAGACAGCTTACTCCACGAGGTGTGGACATTGAGAAGATTTGATAAGCAGCCTATTACCACTGAGTATGAATGAAAATAAATTGTGTACGTCAATCTGAACTCACTCCCACTAATTTCAACAAAACACTTTGCTTTAAGAAAGTTCGGAACACACTGAAATCTGCATATGTCCAGTTATAAACATTTGTAAGAAACTGTTTTGTAATCTTCTAAACATTAAAGTTAGACATGTTCCTAGAATTTGTAACGTACAATGGTTTTTTTATGTTATCGAGATGCATACAGAAACGTCAAAACTACATCGACACAAATCACTCCCACTACTTTCAACATAACACGGGGGTACGGGTGTCCCAGTCGTCTAAGGCGCCGCGATTCGCCGTGCAGAGTTGCGTCACTTTGGCACGGCAGAGACCTATGATTCTCGGTTCGAATACAGGTTCGCCCAGTTTATGTTTCTAGGTTTGTCAGCACCATACCCGTGCTCTTGGGTTTCACCGAAGTGGTAAACGTCTGAGACCTCCAACACTTCGGGCTTTCCTCTCACATTAAGCTGACACGCCGTGATATAACTTGAATACTGTTAAAAGTAGCGTTAAATCCAACTCACACACTCACTCAATTCAACATAACACAATGCCCCAGGAAAGGATTTTCGACATGAAGTTAGCTATGGTCCTAGCATTTGTAGAGTAAAATGTTTGTTTGTTTGATATGCTTACCGAAACATCAATGCGACACAAATGACAAATAACTAGTTATTTTCTGCAAACCAAATTCGGACGACAGACTCCGAATGGAGGTTGTAAATTGTATATGTATACTGTAACACTGGACACCATAATAACACTGATAACTCCTTTCTGGCCGAACTTTAGAGCTGCAGCTCTATCTTTTCCCCAGACTCAGTGAAGTGAATGATGGTATTCTCAGAATTACTAGTGGTATCTGAACTGGGCACTGTGTCACCAACTACTGGAGCATGGACATAGGCGGGAACATGACTAGAGTTTCCATATATGGTTTCTGATCTTTGATTGGGTGAACGTATCTCCATGTGTGAAGGATCTGAATGGAGGTTGTTAAGATTTCCGTCTATATGATATGGTTGGGATGACTGCAAGGCGATGTTTCTCTCTTCCATAACACTTTGCTTGTCTGTGGAAACTGCTTGTCCCAGTTGACTCGGAACATAAACCCCTGGCAATTCTACTGATGTGTGGTTCACGGGACACGTTGATGTTGGTGGTGTGGATGTAAGCCAACCGCCATTGTTATAGCTTCCGTGTGGAACTGACGATGTTTTTTTAAGAAACTGGCCATCGGTTGTCACCCTGAAACAGTACCAAATGCACTTGACCCAACATGTCAGAGAAAATAGGACTTAATCAAAATAGTGATGCTATTGTGACATATAATACAAAATCAAGATGTAAAAGCCTCCAGCGCATTCAAATTCGTATCTAATGAAAAAGACTCCAAACTAAATGGAAGCCCCACATACTCATAAACGTAAACCAACGAATCATTCAATATTATACACAGTGAAGTCTAATTAAGTTCAAATATTGGTAAACATTATTATTTTAGTGTTTTTGCAAAGTCCCCATTGACATATGTAGGCCATGGAAAATAAGGTTTCACTTGGAACAAATAGGAATAGAGTTCATTTCACCACAATGCATTTCTACAAGGTCCCCAAAACAACATACTTAAAGTCCCAAGCAATCCCAGTTTGGGAAATATGTCTAATTTACATAATCAAATATGGCAACCAACTGTCAATAGTATTTTCCATATTTCAGATGAGGTTCAATGTTTTGATGACAAACAGCATGTGTTGTGTTGCAAAATAGCCATATTATGTTTCTAAAAAGATCTTCACAACTATTGATCGTTTTCGACTATTGAAAAATCTACAAAACATCAAGATGGCCGGCAATTTCAAGATGGCGGACACATTTCCTTAATATGAGTTCAGACTGTTGAAGCTTTTATCTCTGAAACAGTGTGCTGGGACTTATATGCATAAAACTTGTCACACTAACTGACTGGCCCCCAAATCCAAGATGACCTCCAAGTCATGGACAGACATGGAATATCAATACACTGTTGGTCTCTCAGGACATATTTGATTGATTGATTTGGGACTTTTAATAGTGTGTTGTTTTGGGGGCCTTGTAGAAATGCTCTGTCCATATTCTTTTTTAGCTGAAATAGATATGTTAATATATGTCTGATGGTACTGTCCTCTTCGAGGTCTCATATGGTTATTTGAGGTTTCAAAACTGTTCTGCAAAACAGCGTATACAATATATGTGTTTGGGCTGTCAACTCAAGCATCATTTCCACATTGCTCTTACCTATCTATAATTGTACCATGGTTGGTTGTCAGGTCATGTATATTTGTTGCCTCAGTTATAATCCTTGCAATATCATCGTGATGTTGTGCCTCTGCTTTTTGTAAAGCAGTTTCTTCTTTATCGTCTTTCTCATAAACATTTGCCTTGTTCTGTAATAACACCTCCACAACCTTCCTATGTCCCTGCCAGGCTGCATCATGTAGAGGTGTGCTGCCATCATTCCGTTTCTCATCCACATTTGCCTTGTTCTGTAATAACACCTCCACAACCTCCCTATGTCCCTGGGAGGCTGCAAGATGTAGAGGTGTGCGGCCTTTCTTATCTTTCTCATCCACATTTGCCTTGTTCTGTAATAATACCTCCACAACATCCCTATGTCCCTGGTAGGCTGCATCATGTAGAGGTGTGCGGCCTTCCTTATGTTTCTCATGCACATTTGCCTTGTTCTGTAATAACACCTCCACAACCTCCCTATGTCCTTGCAAGGCTGCATCATGTAGTGGTGTGCCGCCTTCCTTATCTTTCTCATGCACATTTGCCTTGTTCTGTAATAACACCTCCACAACCTCCCTATGTCCCTCAAAGGCTGCATGATGTAGAGGTGTGCGACCTTCCTTATCCTTCTCATCCACATTTGCCTTGTTCTGTAATAATACCTCCACAACATCCCTATGTCCCTGGTAGGCTGCATCATGTAGAGGTGTGCGGCCTTCCTTATCTTTCTCATGCACATTTGCATTGTTCTGTAATAACACCCCCACAACCTCCCTATGTCCCTCAAAGGCTGCATCATGTAGAGGTGTGTTGCCACCATTATCTTTCTCATGCACCTTTGCCTTGTTCTGTAATAACACCTCCACAATCTCCCTATGTCCCTGCTGGGCTGCAAGATGTAGAGGTGTGTGGCCATCATCGCATTTGTCATTCACATTTGCCTTGTTCTGTAATAACACCTCCACAACCTCCCTATGTCCCTGGTAGGCTGCAAGATGTATAGGTGTGTGGCCATCATTACGTTTCTCATTCACATTTGCCTTGTTCTGTAATAACACCTCCACAACCTCCCTATGTCCCTGGTAGGCTGCAAGATGTAGAGGTGTGTTGCCATCATTACGTTTCTCATTCACATTTGCCTTGTTCTGTAATAACACCTCCACAACCTCCCTATGTCCCTCAAAGGCTGCACTATGTAGAGGTTTGCCGCCTCCCTTATCTTTCTCATCCATATTTGCCTTGTTCTGTAATAACACCTCCACAACCTCCCTATGTCCCTCAAAGGCTGCATGATGTAGAGGTGTGCGACCTTCCTTATCCTTCTCATCCACATTTGCCTTGTTCTGTAATAATACCTCCACAACATCCCTATGTCCCCGGTAGGCTGCATGATGTAGAGGTGTGCGGCCTTCCTTATCTTTCTCATGCACATTTGCATTGTTCTGTAATAACACATCCACAACCTCCCTATGTCCCTCAAAGGCTGCACTATGTAGAGGTGTGCGACCTTCCTTATCCTTCTCATCCACATTTGCCTTGTTCTGTAATAATACCTCCACAACCTCCCTATGTCCCTGGTAGGCTGCATCGTGTAGAGGTGTGCGGCCACGATCACGTTTGTCATTCACCTTTGCCTTGTTCTGTAATAACACCTCCACAATCTCCCTATGTCCCTCAAAGGCTGCAAGATGTAGAGGTGTGTGGCCATCATCACATTTGTCATTCACATTTGCCTTGTTCTGTAATAACACCTCCACAACCTCCCTATGTCCCTGCCAGGCTGCAAGATATAGAGGTGTGCTGCCATCATTACGTTTCTCATTCACATTTGCCTTGTTCTGTAATAACACCTCCACAACCTCCCTATGTCCCTCAAAGGCTGCATCATGTAGAGGTGTGTTGCCACCATTATCTTTCTCATGCACATTTGCCTTGTTCTGTAATAACACCTCCACAACCTCCCTATGTCCCTGGTAGGCTGAATCGTGTAGAGGTGTGCGGCCACCATCACGTTCGTCATTCACCTTTGCCTTGTTCTGTAATAACACCTCCACAACCTCCCTATGTCCCTGGTAGGCTGCAAGATGTATAGGTGTGTGGCCATCATTACGTTTCTCATTCACATTTGCCTTGTTCTGTAATAACACCTCCACAACCTCCCTATGTCCCTGGTAGGCTGCAAGATGTAGAGGTGTGTTGCCATCATTACGTTTCTCATTCACATTTGCCTTGTTCTGTAATAACACCTCCACAACATCCCTATGCCCCTCAAAGGCTGCACTATGTAGAGGTTTGCCGCCTCCCTTATCTTTCTCATCCATATTTGCCTTGTTCTGTAATAATACCTCCACAACCTCCCGATGTCCCTGGTAGGCTGCATCATGTAGAGGTGTGCGGCCTTCCTTATCTTTCTCATTCACATTTGCCTTGTTCTGTAATAACACCTCCACAACCTCCCGATGTCCCTGGTAGGCTGCATCATGTAGAGGTGTGCGGCCTTCCTTATCTTTCTCATTCACATTTGCCTTGTTCTTCAATAACACCCCCACAACCTCCCTATGTCCCTGATAGGCTGCAAGATGTAGAGGTGTGCTGCCATCATCACGTTTCTCCTCCACATTTGCCTTGTTCTGTAATAACACCTCCACAACCTCCCTATGTCCCTCAAAGGCTGCATGATGTAGAGGTGTTCGGCCTTTCTTATCTTTCTCATGCACATTTGCATTGTTCTGTAATAACAACTCCACAACCTCCCTATGTCCCTGGTCGGCTGCACTATGTAGAGGTGTGCGGGCTTCCTTATCTTTCTCATGCACATTTGCCTTGTTCTGTAATAACACCTCCACAACCTCCCTATGTCCCTGCCAGGCTGCAAGATATAGAGGTGTGCTGCCATCATCACGTTTCTCCTCCACATTTGCCTTGTTCTGTAATAACACCCCAACAACCTCCCTATGTCCCTCAAAGGCTGCATGATGTAGAGGTGTGCGGCCTTCCTTATCTTTCTCATTCACATTTGCATTGTTCTGTAATAACAACTCCACAACCTCCCTATGTCCCTGGTAGGCTGCACGATGTAGAGGTGTGCGGCCTTCCTTATCTTTCTCATCCATATTTGCCTTGTTCTGTAATAACACCTCCACAACCTCCCTATGTCCCTGGTAGGCTGCACGATGTAGAGGTGTGCGGCCTTCCTTATCTTTCTCATCCACATTTGCCATGTTCTGTAATAACACCTCCACAACCTCCCTATGTCCCTGCCAGGCTGCAAGATATAGAGGTGTGCTGCCATCATTACGTTTCTCATTCACATTTGCCTTGTTCTGTAATAACACCTCCACAACCTCCCTATGTCCCTCAAAGGCTGCATCATGTAGAGGTGTGTTGCCATCATTACGTTTCTCATTCACATTTGCCTTGTTCTGTAATAACGCCTCCACAATCTCCCGATGTCCCTCGGAGGCCGCATAATGTAGAGGTGTGCCGCCTACCTTATCTTTCTCATCCACATTTGCCTTGTTCTTCAATAACACCCCCACAACCTCCCTATGTCCCTGATAGGCTGCAAGATGTAGAGGTGTGCTGTCATCATCACGTTTCTCATCCACATTTGCCTTGTTCTGTAATAACACCTCCACAACCTCCCTATGTCCCTGGTAGGCTGCATTATGTAGAGGTGTGTTGCCATCATTACGTTTCTCATTCACATTTGCATTGTTTTGTAATAACACCTCCACAACCTCCCTGTGTTTCTGGTAGGCTGCAAGATGTAGAGGTGTTCTGCCATCATTACGTTTCTGATTCACATTTGCCTTGTTCTCCAATAACACCTCCACAACCTCCCTATGTCCCTGGCAGGCTGCATGATGTAGAGGTGTGCCGCCATAATTATCTGTCACATGACTTATTCCCTTGTTCTGTAATAACATTTTAACAACTTCTGCATTCCCATATATACATGCCAAATGAAGTCCAGTTTCACCCTTCTTGTTTGGCTTACCAATGTCCACTGCTTCCCGTAACAGGTAGCTTACAATGTTAACATTTCCAACTGCACACGAGTAATGTAAAGGTGTTGATCCTTCAGGACCTATGATATTGATGCTACGTTGTCCCTTCTTTATAACTATATCCATGACATCTTTGCCCTTTTGACACATGGCTGCATAATGTACATATGTATTCTTTCTTGAACTGTTCTTGTTCTTGCTCGTCTTCATCAAATGTAACAGTCTGGAAGCCACTGTAGACAACCCACCCATACAGGCAATGTCCAAAAGTGAACATTTACCAAACTTTACTCTCAGATCATCTACAACTGCCAACTGCAGTTTGATAATAAGAGGTCTTGGGAGTTTGGGTACCGGCATAGACAACGTATCCAACTTCAAGTTATTTTTGGAACAAATGTACTCGAAGTTGGCCAAACTACTCCCAAAGCAACTTCCAAACAAAGCTTTCTCTGTGTTCTTTACCTTAAACTGAACACTGTTCAATGCTTTCTTCAGCAAATTCGAGTTGTCTGTGATGCTCGCCCAAAACAGAAAGGAATATCCATATATAATGTCATTTTTTGACAATACTTTCAACAGTTCAGATCTGTCCTTGTTCAGATTTTGCAAGAGATTCTCCCAAACCATATTAACAAATGCCTCTACCTGGAATAGGGAATGCATGCACACAAAGGCAAACTTTCTGCCATGTACAGCTGCAACAAAACGCTTCGCTACAATATGCAGATCATCATGTTTCAATTCGATTTTAAAAGGCACATCTAGTTGTTCCTCTTCGGTTGGATCACCTCTAAATGTCACATAACGAAATATGAACTCGAGATCCATCCTTTCAACCAACTGTCTCACATCACTGAGCAGTTTTTCTCTTAGCTTTATTGCTACTTCATGATTTCTTATTCTATATGAGCCTCCTTCGTGATGGAGACAGCATCCCGCCAATTGGGATAAAATATGTTTCATCATATTTTCAGTGTATTCTTCTTCATTGATGTCAAAAACCTTGAGTGCCCAAATAATATATTTTTTGTAAGTTTCTCTTTCCACGCGAGTCCCTGTGTCAGACCCTGCCCATAGCATCCTCTCCTCCAGGTTATTCTCCGCCAAAGCAACCACTAACAAACACGCCATCTTCTGCTTATGCAACAGGTGTTGATCCAAACATGGATAGTCCTCTGTATCTGTGAAAACAAATAACGTTTGTAAGAAAGTAGTGTACAACATTGCACATGTAGATCTAAAATATAATACCTTGCGTAACGCCTTACAATTACGTAACATAGTAATGATCTCCAGAATGCATACTTTCTTCACTGGCGATAGCACAGACGGTTCCTTCATGTGTTTCATGTCCATCCTCTTCATGAATAGTTGGACCTCCTTGTTCTGTTGTCATTGTACAGCTATTTTCCAGTACATCTCTTGTCTCCAGTGTTACAGTTTGAATTTCGTTTGGGACATTACCCTGTCCATCAACTGCCATCATGTGATTTCCTCCACCCTGTACATCTCCCTTGTCCTTGGCATACTGTAGTATCCTCTGAAGTACATACAGCCTGTATTTCTCAACGTGACAGTTCCTCATGATGCCTGGAGACTTCTCCGCCAAAATTGCATCAGCTGCCTGAGAATATGAAAGTTAGAAATGAAAAGGTATCTTTCATACGTGGTTATTGAGACACATGTTGCCTTTCATATCAAAAACATAGCTACAAACCAACCTACCATCAGAACGAATATCCCACAGCTGTGTCCATCAGACTGTTCTATCACTGGGTACTGTTTCTTCATCCATGACTTGCTCCCTTCCTTAGACGAAGATTTCAAGTGGTTTACAAAGAGCCTGAGGAATACATGTATATTACTCGATGGCGATAAAGTCTTCAACTCATGTGGACTGGTGTTAAAGTAAAGGTAGAGCAGAAGGTTAATACAGCAGTGCCTAAAATATCCGGTCCTGACATTTCTGATGTTCTCTCCTGCTTTGTCCATCATTAGGTTTAATGTTAGCAAATACAGATGTTATGGTTTAAATGAATGAGTGACATAACTGTATTTATGGCATTTAAATCATTCCCACAGTGCACCAAATTTGGGGAACTGAGTAACCCTGTTAACAAGTTGTTCTATATCTTCTACCCAAAAGTAAAAGCTACAAATGTGAGTGTAGTTTTTAAATGGGTCTTATTTACATTCATGTTTGTTTTTGACAAATCAACATTTCAAATTGGATAGCTTGGTTTTAAAGGATTTGCATAATGACCAAATAGAAATACATTCTTGATATTGAAATATAATCATGTTTATCTATTATGTGCAGCCACACGCCCTGGCTTTTTTTATCTACTTCTGTCCACCTACCTCCAGTGTTGTACAACTGTGTCCTCCACATCTAAGGCGGGTTTAGAATTGACCACGCCCACTGTACCATCCTTGACATTAGCCACCAGTAGCACCCAATGTTGATTACGCGGCATGTTCACTGGCATTAAGACCCACGTATAGTTTGTCAAATTTTCCTGAAAGTTCACAACAAATGCCTTTTCGGTGTATGATCAATATATCCAAAAATATGTGCTTCACATAAGATGGATATGGTGTAGTAACAGAGATATAAGTGAATTGGTATCATGAACTTGGTACTGAGAACTTCTAAAGAACTCTCTCTGACAACCAGATTTTCACTTCGTACAATGATATGTAGCAAGATGAATATGTTCATGTGCAATATCTGCTTTTGTAACTGCATTATTGAAAACGAATAGCATTATGATCAATGGGGTTACTAGCTTTGACTCAATCGAAACACATTGCAGTACATAAATCAATCATGTGCACAATTGCAAGTGGCAATTACTATCACACTGAATACGCAATCATGGCATAGACCAATCATATGTTATCACAAGAAATATACAATTACTACAAAGTATCTTTCGAGTCTTGCCCATGTTCTTGGTAGGGTGGACATGCAAAGGTACACTCGGAATGACAGAATCATAGGAAATATATAAATCTCACGTCACTCACATCTTTCCCCCTTATCCTGTCTGTGTACTGTCCTGCCTCCCACAGAAGGATTGTCTCTGTAGGCAGCACCAGGCAGTGGAAGCTGACACGGGAACACCACTCTCTCTCCAGGAGATGCAGGTATGTGTCCATGATCTGGACAGGTAAGAGTTCATTTATTAGAATATTTATTATACTGTTTAATCCCCCAATGCTTTCGGTTCAAAGGGAACGCTTGTAATTTCAAATCAAAGCAGGATCCGCTGCACATCACATATCCATCATGAGGAGAATATCTCGGCTGTTAGCAATGACTGACAATTGAACTGATGATGTACTAGAT